TGGCCTTCGTCGATGTTTGCCCTAAGATCAATTGCATTAACTGTATTTACGATTAGAGGTGCTCAGGGCAACATGCTTAGATGTGAATGCGGCAAATACGTGTGCTTATCAGTTTCTTGTGGCAGTAAGGTTCACCGTTAATTGCATATGACATGAAAAAAGTACTTCCTTTTATTGTTTTTCATTTTAATGTACTATGCTGTAAGAGAGGGAAAAACAGTGTATCATGAAGTATCACGAACATGATGCCAACAACACATCTTTAATTGTACTTCTTTCTCTGTGTTCCACCACCATTCTTAGTTTTGCAGTGGCCCACAGAGGCTGTGGCTGTGAGCATACAAAGCTTTTCAGGTGTGGTCGTGTTACGTGATTTACATAATGACATCACAGATTTCTGTATCATCATCCTCCTATTATTTATGAAACATAATACATGATTTTATTGGAGTTCTGAGTAATTGTGCACAGCGAACAACAGTCATTTTAGGGGTCTCTGGATTTCTGATTCCATTCCTTGTGTTAATTTGGAAGCTTGTAAGTGAAAAAATATTTTGGGGTTTTTCCACAAGTATGTTGCTTACTATTTCTTCAATTTGGATTTCCTTTGCTAGTGCGTAGATTTTTTCTCTCTCCTCTGTAGGTCTCTCTCACATTTCTCACTGCCTGGTCCTTACAAACATTGTGTCCTGTGCAAATACTGTCAATAAACTGCTTATCCATTGACCAGATCATTAAGAAAAAGGTTACTCATGATTTTAATATGAAGCTGAACTAGAATCTTAGGCCAGGGTTCATCCCACCTCAGTTTAGGCATTTAATTCAAGTTAAAATCTAAAGGCCTTATCACAGAAAAGAGAGTCATCTGGAGAGATGATTTAACCCACCCCAGAAATTATCAAATCACCAGATGTGTTCAATAATTATATAGAGATTTTAGTAAATTTGTCTCCTATTTGTGATGAACCTAGACCTTATTCTTTGCTGTAATGAGAAACAGCTAATCTAATCTAATCCTAATCTTTTTTCTTTGCTTCCAGACTATTTCTTAACATATTACAAGCTTTCGTTTTACAGCTTTTTAGTTTCAACCAAAGTTTATTGTGTGAAATGTAGCAGAGAGCTTTTAGAAGAACAGTAATTTTTGTCATCTGTTTGTGTCTATTGAAACGTTAAAGAAATCGTAGCTCAGTAAAATGCTCTTTTCCTTTGTAAAATCAGTGGTAATTAGACAGTATTTTCTACTCCCCAAGCCACAAGAGTGGGTGACTCTTACTCAGCAATTCCATATTTAAGTTTCTTTAAAACTCTTAAATGTACCTTCTAGCCCTGATATATTCTGTATTCTCCACTGTCACTACTTCTTGATACCTCACTACTCAAAGAGAAATTGTTCTTGCCAGAAGAAAAACAGAGAGCAGAAACCTCCTGAATGTGTTGAACAAGAAAGTTGGATGCTAAAAAAAGGAAAGTCATTCAGCTTCCAAACAGTGTAATTATCTTCTTTAGCTACAAATTAGCCTGTACAAATTCTGTTGTAGGCCTCTTGTTTCTGATATACCTAAGAAATATTTTATTGTTTATTTTTAAATCTTGTGATGTTTGTTCTCAGAAACCTACTTTCACTCTTTGCAATTTCCTCTTACTTAACGCCTGCAGAAGTTTGAGTTCCTGTTTATTGGCTTCCCTAGGATCATGTATCCAAAATCTGAAGGATTTCTGTTTAGTTGAAATAGACTCTTGAACCTTGCCATTCATCCGGTTTAGCTTAATCCTGCTGTCCTGGTTCCCTGTCTTGCACAGTACACAAGCCTTCAGAGACAGTTCCTATGAAAGTCCTGTCATTATTGCCTTTGCTGTCTTACGGTTTTACTTTTAGGATCTTTGTGTCTAACCTAAGATTACTAAGTGTGCGAATTCCACTTTATTTCTTATTTTTTACTGTAAAAAAAACACACGAGCATCTTAGAAATACGAGCAGAACCCACGAAGAACAAAAGGTACGACAAAGAAACCAGTAAGATGGGAGAAGGGGAATGGGGGAGTACTTATTGTTCCCACTTTTGCTGTATGACTGAACTGGAGGTGGAGAGCTTCCTGCAGAATCCCACTAACATTGAATGAACCAGCCTGTGTCAGATTCTGCACTGATGGCTACCAGTCTTTTCATCCCTGCCAACCATCCACTGCTGATGCTGCAAAGTAATGGCAAAGGTTCTGACTACAGGTAGGCTTTCCACCATGTCCTACAATCAAGAACCTTATTCTGGACTGGAAAACAGAAGGCCTGACATACTAAAATCCGCATGTAATTGGTTGGGTACAAGTGCTGTTGCCACAGATACCCTGCCAAATCCAGATGCTTGTTCTTAGTGCTTTATGAAATCTTGTAAATCCATAATAAGCCATATCCATCATCTGAAGGACCAGCACCTAGGGTAGCAAGGGCTGCTGTCCACGTTCTGCCTTTCCTTCTCAGACAGAGCAGTAGTTTTGACAGACAGCTAGCTTCATTTATAGGTAGGAGTTTTGAGCATTAAATTCATATCTGTCACATTAGAACAGGAATCAATCTGAAATTAATGAAATACCTATGGAATTCCTCATTGTCTTTCATACCTCTCATTTAAGGTTTTCCTAGAAGATTTTTGAAGGTGCATTATAAGATAAGTGTCCTTTTAAAAACAAATATGTATAATGCATCAGTGTTTGGAGCTGAACTGAGAAGAAGACGACCAGTGCTGCAGATGGACAGACTTTTGCCAGCTGCACCACAGGATGAGATGACCAGGTTGCTAGACACAAAACTGCATGGAGGACCTTTTGCCCAGTACATAGGATTAGGTCAGCAAGTTTACTGGATTGTCTGTATGATGTCACATCTGCAACCCTTTCGTCTTGTCTAGGAAAGCAGGAACTTGCACTAGCTGTGTTCAATGTTTAATTAAAAAAGATAGGGGTCTGCATGTATAGAACTGAATTGCATCTTCTTTGGCTGGCTTAGAAGTAGATACTACTTTCTAGGATTTTTTAATTTTTTTTTTCACTGGAGAGCCCTGGCTTTGTCTTTTAACATTTGATCTCTGGAGCCATCACTCATCTCTCTGGTGGCATTCTGTTTCCTTAGAGCACTGCTGGAATTTAGCCAAGTCCGTGTTTTGGTCACCACCAAAGACCAGTGTGATTGCCATTTCCTCCCCTATCACACATTGTGAGAATGTATTACTCTTGTCTCAGAGCAGTATCAGATCCAACACCATCATTAACTATCCAACACCGTCATTAACTATTTGTGCACAAAACTTCATTGGTTAAGATTTTGAAAAGAATTTCAGGAGAGGATTTAGGATTTTAGAATACTTACAGTTCATTCTAGGTCCTGGAAATTGAAATGGTTTGAGATAATTTAGCCCTTCAGGGTCTTCTGTTGATTTTGCAGACAGGTGAGAAAGGAGAGGAATATTGCCCTTCATTCTTACATGTAGGCTGTCATTGTCTCTGTGATCTAACAAGCGTATAGGCTTCAGATTGTGAGCACAGGAGAGGCTTGGCCGTCTTATTAGCACAGTAAGTTGACTGGGCAGAAAAAAGGGGTAAAAGAAGTGCTAATTCTTTGGATAGTGGTATCTTCTCATTTCTTCAGTACAGCACTGATGTCAGAAATGCATAGCCCATGTTAAAACTGGGTAACTCTGAACACCCTTTGGAGGACCTCTCACTATCTGCGGATATAATGCAACACTGATGGTCACGTAGCAACTCTTGATTCTGCAGCTGAATGCATGAGGTTTATTCTAGCAGCAAAACTCATAATCTTAATAGCTATGTGCTTATCCAGAGCCTGGTTTTGGACTGTGTGCTGAAATTTCTGGCCGAACTTCTGTAGGTTCTGTTGTAAGAGAAGCCAGGCTAGGTTGACACAGTATGATCCTTCTGTGTCAAAATATTTAAATTAATGAATATTTAGGCGTTCAGGCAAACTGACCCACTTATCAGAAGTGCTTAGTTCCCACTGCTGTCTAAAGTACATGGGACCTGCCAGAACTCAACTCCTCATAAAATTAGACTGCTTTTAATTAGGTGTCCAAACATTAGACTTAATCATTTATGTCTCTGAGACAGTATAGAATCATAGAATCATAGAATGGTTTGGGTTGGAAGGGACCTTAAAGATCATCTGGTTCCAACCCCCCTGCCACGAGCAGGGACATCTTCCACCAGACCAGGTTGCTCAGAGCCCCATCCAACCTGGTCTTGAACACTTCCAGTGAGGGGGCATCCACAGCTTCTCTGGGCAATCTGTTCCAGTATCTTGCAGACCAACTCACAATAAATTGCACAGAGCCATTTTGAATACTTTACATTCCAGAAAGGTAAGGGTTAGACATTTGGTGTCCACTCCTGTCTGGGTAAGTGCCGTCCATATTATGCAGGACTGCAGTTTTCAATGATAATTGTATTTGACGTTATTTTTATTATTTGGTATGTTGAATATTTGAATGACTTGCAGATTGAAATGTTAATAATTTAATAATTTGTTGATTAATGATGCCTTTCAATTAATGCTTTGTATTTAAAAGCCCACTCTTGCAAACACTTCATGGGTGATTTGTTGTGCATAACTTGACCTTTCTAAAAGTGTGTAGTGAAACGCAGTCATCAAAGTTCCTTCTCTAGTCAGTAGGGAGAGAATCATCACCATATGCTTATTCAGAAGTCTGTAAGTTAGATGGATAGAATTATGTTCCAAAGGTGTCTTTTTCTTTCCATTAATTATGGAATTAATTAGTGAGGGGTGACTTCATTTGTCTGTGTGCCTTTTTGATGATTCCGTTAGTGGAAATAAATTCTGCCATTTCTGTCAGTGGGACTCTGTTCAGTGGGATTGTCAAGCTGATGACTGCTCTAGTTGCCTTATCTTTTTGCAGGGTTGGGCCCGTATTGTTTCTTGTAAAAGATTTGCTATGTAATTACATTATTGCATGTTTCTTTTTCTACAGCCAACATCTTGTATATGGCAAGCCAAGAAATGATGAAGGTTGTGGAGAGAGACAGTACAACCATAAAGGAAAATTTAAAGAAGGTAACTATTTAATCCTCAGAGTTTTCATGGGAAGCACACACGCATGACAAAATGTTCCATCCAGTTGTATTTGTGCAAAAACGGAATTTCAGCAGGCTTGAATCTGTTTTTATGTTAGTGTCATTCCATTGACTTTGGAGAAGCCATTAAAGGGGTCACCCTTCATTGAAGTGTCATTGACCCACACCTGTAGAGATGTAGGATTCACCGCTATCAGATGTAGTATCCCATCTGGTATATTTTCCTTGGTGGAAGAGAAACAGTCGATGTTCTGGCTTAGCCTGAGATGTGGTTCCCAGTGGGGCCAGTAGTTACCTGGGTTCTGATCAGAGAGGCAGATGGCCAGCCAGGACACAAGTGCAGGCTGATGGACCAAATCCTCTGACTTTGCTGCTGGACAGGTCAAGCAGAACATGTACCATGTACTGTGTTGTGTGGTGTCAGGTAGTACCATGGGGTTCTGCAGGCTAGATTTTTCCGTGGCGTCAAAACATAACAGAGAGGAGTCTGCAAAGTGATTATGGCTCCAGAGTTTCAGCCAGTCGACTGTGGTGTAAGATACAGAAAGTACATTCCTCAGAAACTGGAGCTGCTGCGATACAAGTAAATTAAGTAGTTTTGGGGAACTTTCCCCTGCACTGAACTTTCTTGTCTGTATGGATTTATTGTTGAGAGAGATCCTGGTACAGTTTTGTTCTGGATCGGTAGCATTCTCGCAGTCAATTCCCAGGCACGGTTCAGGGACTGGCACAGGCCAGGAACTGTTCCTAATTGGAGTTTTGATGTGGTCACCCTGTTTTGGAGGTTGAGAGAATTGAATAGTGTGGCCATGGTCAGACAAATGGCTTATGAGCCAGAAAACTGTCATATTTAATAAACTATTATCGTTGTAGCCTCCGTGTGAGTAGATAATCAGTATAACATATTATTATCAGTATAACATATTATTCTACTGTGTCCCCTTCCTTCCCTCCGTTTTTTTGTATTATTCCTGTGTTTTTGCTGAAAGAATGATTCCAGCACTTTGCACTAGCAGAGATTTTCCTTGGAGAATGGAATTTTCTAGGACAGAGGTCCTAGATCTCTGTAAGATTTCTTTGTGCCTTGTAAATAGGTATGGTACAAAGTTCACTTCATAAATCAGTCTTTCTTTTTTTTGCCTGAAAATTGATTTATTCTATAATGATCCCATTTGCCTTCTCTGCACTTTGAAAAGTATGTTCAGATGTTTCAGTTCTAGTGTTTTTTAAAGGAGTTGAAATAGCACACGTGAAGAAGGAACACTGCACTGCACTAGGCATGCCTGGTTTTTCACCTTTTTATTACAGAGCATTCACAGTTCTCCTGCACTTCGGGGGCAATCTCAATGAAGGAGCTGAAGGGCTGATCTTGCAGACTGCAAATATTCTCTTTGTCTTAAACAAAACTTTCCATGGGTTGATCCAAAGCCCACTGAATTAAAGGAAAATGGTTGATTTTACTGACTGAATCACCTCTCCGAGTGTCAGGGAGCTGCAGGGTCTGCCTGTTCCCTGCAGGAAAGGGAGAGGGCAGCCGAGGGTGCTGCTAGCAAGGCAGTGCCCTCACCGAGCAGGGTCCATCCCACAGCACCCGAGCAGGGCAAGGTAACAGGTCTGTGGGCTGTCCCAGACAAGGCAAAGCAATGATCCAGGTCGAGCATCCCTCCAGAGAATCTAGTCAGGAGTAAAAGGAGACAGGGCCCGAGACAGGACTAGAGACAAGGCTACACCGTGGGTCCGAAGTCCATCCAGGAGGTATGGCCAAAGACATGACAGATGGCAAGCTGCAAGGTGGGATCCATCCAGACGACAAGCTATGGACAATGTAGATCCAATGTCAGTCTAGGCCACAGGGCCAGGGCCAGGGCTGGAGACAGATGCTCCTACAGTGTAGCTTGAGAGACAGAGACTAAAGGCAAAGGACAGAGATGGAGACGCTGGACCCATGGGCAGGGAGTGTGGGTTGGGGACCCAGCAAGGCTGGTAAGGTCTGTTAGTGCCATGAAACCAAGGGCAAGACTGCAGGTTACCATGTCAGTCGGGGTACAAAAGTGAAGAGTTTGCCGGATTAGCACTTCAGGTGCTTTTGGAAATTTTTATCACACGCACGCGTGCTTGAAGTTAAACATGAAAGCTTGGTTGGATGAGGACAATAGTGGTGACAATCAGCTGCAGGTCCAGTGACTTCAGATGGTCTACTCAGATACTTCACATTACAAAAATACTTATTTCTTGTACCCAGTGAAGGCCCATAGCCAACAGTAAGAGTTTGCAGGTGTCCGAGTCTGCTTGGTCTGTGCTTTTGTTGACTCTGTCAATCTAAGCATGGCCTTGGCAGGCAGGAGCTTTTTTAAACCTGTGTTAACTTTCTTTTATTGATTCTTCTATGATGTCCGCATACTTTTAAAGTCGCAAACATCCTCAAAAAAACAAAAAGCTGAAGCAAGCTGAAGCAAGCTTTGCTCAGTTGGCAAACTGAAGAAGCAGCAGGTCTAAAAATGAAGCTAAATGCTTCTCTTTTTTCATCTTCTAGTAATTTCTGGGAATGTAAGAATTAAGGAAAAATTTTTGAGTTGGCATTAGGTTAAATTTGAAGAGTATTGACAATAAAAATGGGCTTAATTTATAAAGGTTGGAAGTTTATAAAAACAGCAACTATAGTCCAAGTTGCTATAGAACTGGCAAGCTGTCACTTCAAAAAATTTATACAGTTTAGTAGTCACTGTGAGCATATGCTAAAAGCCAATCTTAACACCTGACTTTGCCAGCTGCTGTGGAATAGAAAAGTTATTTCTGGATCTTATTTGCATTCTGTGATCTGAAGAAGAAAGAAGAAGAGACACTTAATTATTACAGTCTTTCCATGCCTGGTTTTAACTATAATTATTACTAGTTAGGTACCAGGAGAAATTTTATCTCCAGACCCCAAATTCTTATTCTAACAGTGCTAATTGCTCAGATTTATGTTGAAAGAATGGGAGCTGGAATATTATGTGGATAATTAGGTGAGGTATTTCGCTTGCAACCTTCTAAAGACTGAAGATGTGCACATTAAATAGCAGTAGAACTGTATGAGGAGGATGGAGACCTGTCTTCTAACAAAATAATATATGATAGAGCATTTAAAATATTGGCTTTAAAGCTATTCATCTGGATCAAGTAGTATACGAATGTAGGCTTCTTATTGCAATGACACAGGGAGTTGTGATAAATCACAAAATCCAAAAAAGTAAGGTAGGGGATACTGACAAAAGATTTGCTCGGCTTTGATGGTTAATTGTCATTAGCTGATTGTGTCTAAGCCAGCTGAGCTACGTTCTTTCACTGTAGTAACATCAACTCCCTTTATCCTAATAGAAACTGGAGGCAAAGATACTACTGTACTAGAAGTTTATTGTAATTCTTGAACAAAAGGAAGTGGGTGTAATTCTGTATTCCTAAAAGATGGATCAGCACTGAGCATCATGCAGCTTTTACTGGTAGAATAAAAATTAAAAAAGGAAAGGGAAAATGGTTGTGTTGGGTATTCAGTAGCGTGCCTGTGATGGATGATATTCCCATATAGAAGCCCTCTACAGTACTTAACTTTTAAGTCTGTGCCATGCCACATTCATTGTTTTATTTTAAGACTTAGCCTTATTGACTCTTTTTCTGTCAAGTAAACTTGTAACACTGTTGTAACCAGGAAGATACTGCATTGAAGCGTAAAACTAGAGTGTTTACAGAGAAAATTTTGCTTTAAAAAAAATCACCCCTCAGATTTTATGCTATATTTTGTTCAGTACTTCGTGTGTAATACACAGTTGTCCTACTTTTAAGTGTAGGATCTGCTCCAAAGCCCATCTAAATCAATGGAAGAGCTCCCACAGACTTCAGGAAGCCTTGAATCAGTTTGGCAGTGAACTTGCTATAGTGGTTCATAATTCCTTAAGACCATAAATCATCCACTTCAGCAACTGAATATCATAATTCTTTTGGTGAGCATGTTAAACCAGAAAAGGTTTGTATGTTCCTTGAGTGTAGTTTTGCCAGTGGTCTGGTGTAGCAGATGCATTGATTGTGTAAGGAAAAAGACAGGAAACATCTGAAGTAGAGATACAAAGATGAAAAAAACCTGTTGTCTGAGAAGAATAGTTTTTAATCAAATGGGAAAAAGTATAAACTAGAAGTTTATGGGCACAGGAACCTGTTGTTTGTTTTTTTTTTACTCAGATTGAGGAAGTCTGTGTTGTGGGTGGCTTGTAACAGACTGTAGATGGTTAGGTGGGGAAGAAATTCTCTTTTGAAAAAATTAAATTAATGAAGTGTATGTTTACCACTTCCTGCTTATTTCAATGGTGTCTTTAGAATTTAAAGTAATACAAGTTTATATCTCACCAGTAACACCACAGAAAATGTGTTATCCACTGGTATCAACTCAACAGTGATATGCAGAGATTTAGAGTGAAAATTGCAAAAGTAAAGTATGTCCTTTCTACAGAAAAGTGATAGGTTTTTCTTTTGAAAAATTGTCTTTGCTAGAGAAAATTTTTAAAACTGAGCAACCAAGAACTGTTCTGACCCCTGAAGCAGCTGGTTTGCTGTTGCCCTGTGTTTTTGTTTGAGTCTCTGTAGACATCCACAGGGGTTTAGTAATTATTCCCAGTGAGAGGAGCATGATCTGAAGATAAGTGGTTAAAGGAATACTACAAATACTTTGCCTGCCCGCAGCCTGACTGAGTTGCTTGCCTACATTTGTGAAAAACCTTCCAAACACACTTTCTGAATAGGTGCAAAGTGCTCTCTGGAGCCAAGAACACCTCTTTTTTGGCTGGCCTTACATCCTTTTTGGCCTGCATTCCCTGGAGATGCAGAGTTGAAGTTAGGGAAATTGCACATGTGCTTGGGGATTTTGGTGCCTGTGTCATTCAACCACAAAAACAACCTTCTCTTTGAAGCACCCAGAATGCCTAACCAGGGATCAGCAGTTTCTCTCCTCAG